ATTAGAATCTTTCACAATATACATTAAAAATATTTTTATAAAAGCTACATTACGCAGATGCAAAATTCAGCTGAATATGTATGTGTGTAAATCTCATCAGACTTTTCTCACATCGTGAGTGACTGTGCAAGGAGACTAGTGACAGAAGCCATCAGTGATGATGCAGTTACAAGCTCCTGCAGCTGAGATGAGAGAGACTCTGCATACAGCTGTTGCCAGCCAAAGCTTTAAGAGAAGGTGGCAATGAGATGGTCACTGATATCAATGCCTGACTAGAGTTAGCCAAAAGGCATGTTGGAGAATGTTATGATCAGCCCAAAATTGAACTTTCTCCCCATCAGGCAAGGCACTATTTTTGGCGGACACCATCCTTCCAGTGAAGCAAGGTGGTGGCAGAGTCATGTTGAGGGGATGCTTCATTGCAACAGGCCATTAAAGCTGGTCAAGGCAGAAGGCAAAATGAATGCACAAAGAGAACTACAGCTTCTGCAACATTTATTTTAAAGCAAGAAGAATCCAGCTAAAGACTCGCATATGGTATAAAGACGTTGGCCCAGTCAAACCCCACACCTCAATCCCACAGAGAGTTTGTAGCTGGATTTGAAAATGGCTGTTCACAGTCAGAGGTGAAACATCCTCGTGCAACCTTTCAGAGGTTGAACAGTTTGTAAAGAAAGAATGGAGTAAAAATTGAGAGGTATCCACAGAATCTGTTCTGTGATTGCGACCAAACATGCACATACTAAGTACTGACTTGAAGCAGGGGAATATTTATGCAGTCAATTAAAATATGTGACACATTTTGTATTTGTTTGCTGTTGTTTTGTAGACATCCATTTTCACTTTGATATCAAAGGGTTTTATTTGTAAATTTCTTAGTCAAAAGAAACTAATTACGTTGATCGTCATTGATTTGTAAAATCATCCAAGGGTGTGAATACTTGATTGTAGTCACTGCGGGGCAGTAATTATTTTTTTCCCTGGCACAGTCAAAGTACAAGGTGCTGACAACATTAAAAGAAATTCTTGAACATTTTCCACCATGGAAGATTTAAACTTGTACACCACTTTTTTTTTTTCCTTTTTACTCAATGCGAGAGTCAAAGACCTCTGAAAAAGCCATATTTGCACATCTTTATTACCAACCTTATTTGTTGGCTTTTCTGCGTACATCCATCTTCTGGATCTCACAGGGTGTTGTGATGAGTTTAAAGTCACAAATGTCTTCTGCAGTTGCCCACCAGAGATGACTCAGCTTCAAATGCCACAGAAAATCTTAATCATTACGGCAATTTACCAACTTTATGGGCTTGTAAGACATGGGAAACTGTTCATATTCCTATAAACCAAATGAACTGAAGTGAAACTACATTCAAACCACATGTCAAGATGAGGTTTTTAACAACTGTGCAAATGTGTGATTGCAAACACGGGTGTGCAGTGGTGTGTGTCTCACATGTTCAGTGGTACCCTCAATGCGGATAAAAAGAGAGGATCGAGAGGACAATGCAAGATGCACAATGCAGTGAAACGTTTATTTTATTTTCATTGCACAGTGCAATGCAACCTTTGTTTTCTCTACAGTGCACATTCATGTTGATGTTTTTTTTTTGTTTGCGTTTCCATAGTATACTGAAATAATATTAAATAAAACATTAACATGTCTTTAATGTCAGTGAAATAATTAAATATATCTTACAATCTTACAACCCAATGAATAAGAAGAACAGTTTGCAAGCTTGTCATGGACAAGTGAGAATAATATCTTTTTTTTTTTTGCTATACTATTTTCACAAACAGGAATTTTAATCCTAATTTTGGTGACATCTTACTTTTGTGATCACATTTAAGATTATTTCTTATCTTTATCAGAAGGTGTTGCAGAAGTTTGTGCAGCACCTTGCATGTCTTATTGCAGGACATTGTGTTCTTGCATGTGTTTTCTCCGTGAAAATTCGAGCTCCAGCCTCCGACAGAAGGCGTAAAATTCAAAGAGAGAGTCACAGCGCCCCCTAGAGGGCAGCGGTGTACTGGCAGCTGGACCCCCTCTGCTGCGCCCATGGATGCTCCGCCTCTTGAAGCGTTTGTATGCGACTTCATCGGCTACTTCGTGTCCCTGTGAAGAAAAATAAAAAACACACTGGGCATGAGAAATTCATAAATTTTATACTTTGGCAAAAGTAATCATCACCCCAAAGCTGACAGCAAGTCCTAGAATAAACTTTTGGAGAGTTGTTTCCTCTTGAGAATTTCACAATAAAATGTTCGTGTCTCTGCGAATTTAAAAAGTCTCCCAAGAAATTTTATTAGACATTTCTTCATAACTTTTGACCTGGAATAACATAGTATGAAATGTTTAAGAACCGTGACTTTTGAATTTAGCACAGCTTTTAGAAACTGTTGGATTTTTTTTTAAGGCAATGAGTTTCCTGTTTGTAGGGATTTTTCCCCCCCGTTAACTTCACTTTACTTTCATCCTCGAGTCCGCCCAGACTTTTCTGCAGGATTCCTAACTCCCCCCCTCCAAGATGGAGGCTCTCGGAGGTTATCCCACCAAGTCCTCCAAAGCCAGAATAAAAAGGCTTAGGGTCCTGGTGAGCATGACAGTCGGTGTGGGCTGTTTGTTCCTCCTGCAGACGCACCTGGTGAAGCCCAGAAAACAGAAGGACTTTTATTCGTTTGAGGTGAAAGACGCAAGGGGGAGGACGGTATCCCTGGAGAAGTACCGAGGAAAAGTACGTCCACATCATCACCAGACGTCTTAAGTTTGGCGATAAATCTCTGCAAATCTTCATTTGGAAACGGAAATTACGTTTTTCTTCTTTATGTCCTACTTTCTTGTGATTACGTTCTGTGCAGAGTTTTATTATAATACATGCTCCATGGTTTTTGTCCTGTTCAGGCATCGCTGGTTGTAAACGTGGCGAGTCACTGCCAGCACACGGAGGCGAGCTACAAGTCTCTGCAGGAGCTGCACCGGGAGCTGGGTACGTCTCACTTCAACGTCCTGGCCTTCCCCTGCGGCCAGTTCGGGGACACGGAGCCCGGGTTCAGCCGCGACATCGAGGCCTTCGCCAAGTCCACCTACGGCGTGACGTTCCCCTTCTTCAGCAAGATCAAAATCCTGGGCACGGAGGCTGAGCCTGCCTTCAGGTTCCTCACAGGTCGGCAGGAAATCATGATGTCCTGTTGTATATTTACAATTCTGCACAGCAGTTGCTGACTTTAATTGATTACTTGTCCGTTTTTTTTCAAGGTGTAATGGTTGTATAATTAATATTACGCTTGAATTTAGTGTGGATTTTTTTCTTTAACTCACTTAGGATCAAAAAGGATAAAATCAATGCATACATTGAGTCAGATATTTAAATAATTAAAACGTTCTTGACCCAGAAAAGACTGGCTGGTTAACTTTTTCTTATGATGGGTAACTTTTAAAACATAAAAAGTTTAAAGATTTAGACAACAACACTAATATTTAGATAAATGTCAGCTTTAAAGTTTAACCCTTTTCTAGACATCAACAATCTTCCAGCAAAATTCTGGCTGGATGTTTAACCACTGCAAGTCAATTTTATTGACTTGTTTGCTGGCAGAGACCCAGGCTCTTCAGTGAAGTACACACTTTTTAGGGTTGAAACTGAAGTGAATATTTATAGGAAGAAAATCCAAGGCGGCTATTATAAACCTGCTAGAATTAGTTTTGATTGTTGTTTGAGAACATTGTCCTGTTAGAACACCAAAAAGAAGAAAGTAAGCAAGAAATAAAGCTCTGTTTCAGCTTCTAGCTATCCACGTGTTTTTAAAAGAAAAGATTTATGGTGGTAGGAGAACCAGCTATGTCCAAACAATAACAAAAGTCAATGTTTGGATAAGCTAAGATTAGGCTTTCATACCTAGTTAGCACTGTGCAAACTGTTAAACACGGCATTAAAGCATCATCATGATCTTTTTTGCTGTCAGTGGTAATAGAATGGCATATTGCACAAAGTGGATGAAATCATGATGATCCAATATTAAATGAATGACATTCACATCAATGATGAGTGCTCAGGTTCTCAGTAAAACTGAGTCAACAAACATGTAAAGAAATAAAAAAAAAAAAGCTACTACAAATATGGAAATGCTCTTATTTTTGCATAGTTACATTGTTAGGAAATTAAATATAGTTGTTGTATTGCTGTCTGGGGATGTCATTATAATAAAAAAAAAATAATCCACTCAACCTTTTCTTTTTTTTTTCTTTTTTTTAAGATTCTGTGCAGAAAATACCAAAGTGGAATTTTTGGAAGTTTCTCGTGAATCAGGAAGGAAAAGTGATCCGGTTCTGGAGAACAGACGAATCCATGGAGAGCGTCCGAAAAGAGGTCACAGCACTGGTGCGAGAAATCATCATAAGGAAACGCGGAGAGCTATGATGGCAAATGCTTGGTAGATATGGGACATTTTGCCACTTTATGTCAGATGGAGCCATGCTGGTAAAGCCTGAAATGACTGAAGTGTCAGCAGAGGGCATGCGAGGGAGATCTGTTGCTCCAGAAAGAAGTGTTGGTATGGTTTTAATTGAGTGTTGGCCATTCTATCGGACAGTAACGAATCCAGTGTTGGGGTTTAAAAAAAAAAAAATCTCCCTACAGTGTACTTCTTAAAGTAATTTTCTAAAGTTTACAATCTTGTTTTTAAGATGAAACCTACCTTTTCACCTTCCAGTGTCTGATTTGAGCCTCTTAACTGTATCTCATCCTTCCAACAATAAAATAATGTACCCCAAGAGCATCAGTTGTTTTCTCCAACGGGCTGCATGGAGATGCCCATGTGACCGTGGTAAATGTTGCGTCTCCAACGACTGTTCAAATCCTCACCTGGGGCTTTTCTACATGGAGTTTGCATGTTCTCATGCTTAATGATCTCTGCAAAAAAAAAAAGCCCCACCGTGCACAGATAAGTGGGTGGATGAAGGTGATGGTGTGCAATACAGGCAAACATCTCTCTTTTTTTTTCCATAAGTCTTATGGTTCAGATGCTACATTAAGTCTTGGTACCATTTTCATTGTATAGAGGCAAACAAGCCAGGCTTGAGCCGTTCTTTTTCAAATTGTCTTCCAATGACCTTTAGCATCTAGAGTGAGATGAAGCTACTTTTTTGGGCATCTTACTTTGCAAATGCAGTGGAAGCAACAACTTAGTTTTTCTACACACAACTTTTACTTTAGCTTTGTTTATTAAAAATGAGTGCTGTGTGGTTTTGTACATTTCAGTATAGGTATATAAATATGCTTAGGGTACGTACTGTACACCATAATTCTAAGCACCTAGAAACCAATAACCGAAAGAGGATGAACCTTCATATTCATGGTGGTGTTCTTTTTTTACATTGGAATGTAAATGCAGTGAGTATTGCACAAGGTCAAGCTACTGTGGATTTCTCAGACAGTTTGAGGGCAGCAGCAGGTAAGCTGGCACCTGACGACCCAACCAGCTAACAAGACACTGCCTACAAACCAGCTGAAAAGCACCAGAGGTCCTTTACCTAAAGATATTTATATGAAAAGTCTTCCAACATTTGCAAGTTGAGCGTAAATATAACCGTTATGGTAGCAGAGGACTGTGAGCTGAAAGAGAACTCGTCAGCTAACATTACACTGCCTCCATACCAGTCACAACTGAAAGGTCTTCTGCACCAAACACAATTTGAGACATTTTGCAGCCCAGCTTCAGCAGCAGGTATTTCTAAAGGTTACCCTGTTAGCGACAGTGGGGAGGGAGGTGCAGCTGCACACAACCAGATCTACTGCCACGCTGGCACCTCCACCTCAGATCTGCAATCTAGAAATCAGGGAGATTCTGATATAGAGATGTCCACTTTTCATCTTACCTTGAAGGGAGAAGGTCTTCTTATCCTCATTAAAGCATCCTCCTGACAAAGAGGAGAAATTAAACAATTGAGGTCATAATTCAAAACAAAACGAGTTTCTGCAAAGTTGATCAGTAAGAAAGTCGAACAAGACTGAAAGCTAATAAGAAAATAATTGAAAAGTGTCTAATGCTAAAGAACCAGGTAGGGGTTGTGATTTGTTGAAAGTTTGCATGTGTTGCATAGCAGCAACAGCAGATTAAAGGAATACACAGACGGGCTACAACACCACATATTTTAATTCCATGATTTGATCTACTTACCCACTCATTTGAATGCCCCTATGTGAATTTTTTCCCCCCTCTTACAGAAATCACTTTTAGCCCCTTCACCCCGCTGAGACCCGGGTCATACCTGTCTCGGTGAACCTGCGGTCTCTCCTGCTCCAACTCCCCTCCTAAATACTCCCGCAGGGCGGACAGCAGAGCGGGAAACTGCGTCTTCTGCTCTGCCATTGGCGGCCTAATCCTTTCCCCCCCCCCCCCTTTAAGTGGCTTGTCTGGTGATGCCATTTGCGTCCTTGTTTCCAGTGCAACAATTAAGTAGACAAAGTAAAGAAAAACAGCAACGCGGTAAAGCTTTAAAAGAGGGGGCGGCAGCGTGCTGTTGGCCCAACATGAAGAATCTAAACCTGAAAATGAATTACACACCAGAAGCTGGATTTGCTATCTTATGTTCATATCATTTACCAAGAAGGAGCTCGGAATCATTTTATTATTTTCTAATTTAATAAATAGGCCTACATATTTTTTGCACACATACACTGAGTGCGTACAGAGTCGTTAAGTCCAGTTGTATCTGTTAGAGTTGTGTTTTTTCACGTGTAAATTTAGTGGAGAATATGTGTGCGTCGAAATGCTCATTTCTTTTTTTTTTTAAATTTTGTATAAAGACAGAAAAACCGCACATATTTTTAGATTATTGTTATTATTTTAAAAAGAATGGCATAAGACAAGAAATGTAGAGGAAGGAATTTCTTTGAAAAATGTTTACAATCAGCAACACCCTAGTCATCCTTAAATGACTAAATAAATAGCTTTATTTACATAAAACACATCTGAAGTTTTTTTTTTTTTTTTTTTTTTTTTTTGTAAGAACTACCAAAAATAAATATTTTGACTAACTAACTAACTCCAATTACTACTTTTGGGTTTTGCATCAGGATGTAAACAACTAATATTCCTGAAAGAAAATTAAATCTGATTGAAATAAATCTTGCTGCATGGCAGGCAGCTGTTAGAAAACATAACTCTTGTGTAGTCGCGCGCTTCACACCGCTTGGTAACCAGCTGCTGTTGTGGCGCTAACTGGGCGCGAGCGGCGCGAGCGGCGCGCACGTTCTCGCCACCTGCTACCTCCATATGGGCCTTTAAACACCGCGAGCTCGAGCCTGGAAGAGCGCGACAGGTGCGCGGGGAGGCAGGATGCTGCTTCTGGAGCTCCAGTTTGACACACCTTTGCTTTTTGATTCGGCAACCTGACACTTTAATAAAAGTCAGCACTTGTTGTTCTCTAACTATACTTAGTTGAAATCGCTATTCTGTTATGTTTTTCTTTTATTATTATTATTATTTATTTTTTTTGCAGGCATCCTTCCCTAACACTTTTTAAAATATATTCTTTCATTTTGACCCTGAGTGTGAGTCCCAGACTCTTGACACCTAAGGAACAGGTTCCCCCCACCCCTCCTCCATCTTCTTTCCCACGACTTTTATTTGCAGCCTCCTAACTTTATTCACCTTAGAAACCCATTGTGTCTCTGTGACTTTATTTTTCTTTTCTTCAGTTTGGCGGCCGCTTAACCGGTCAAACTTTCCCCAATCGGCCCAAGCAATGCTTGCTCTCTGCCTGCCTTTTTACTCGGTGGCAGTCGTTCGTTTCACAGTGAGCTTCATGACTGGTGCACTTCAACTCTTTAGAGTATCACCGAAGGTTAATTTAGTCAAGTAATTCCATGCAACAGCAAAACTCATGTTATATCGATTCACACACGCTGAGTGATACATTTGAAACGTCTCCATAGTTATTTTTTTTATAATTGTTTATATTGTATGAAACCCCAAAGCTAAATTTAGACTTGACAGTTGTTCAATAACCTCCACTGGGAATTTAAGCCCCAACAAGCAATGGCTGTATGATGTGCTTCGTCCAAGCTTATTATTAGAAAGTTGAGTAACACTTTATTTGACGGGGTGTGCATAATGACACTGTCATAAACATGACATAATACCTGTTAGGAACATGAAGGAGTCTTTATGAATGTTTATGACTGTTGTCATGAAGTGTCATTCAGTAAATAATGACACTTTTAATACAAAGTTGCTCTGAAAGGTGCTTTAAAATCCATTAAAAGTGGCAAATTTGCTTTAAAGTATCATTATTTACAAAATAATGCAAAGTTGGCACTGTTAATGGACTTTCAATGCAACTTTCAGAGCAACTTTGCATTAAAAGTGTCACTATTTAAAGAATGACACTTCATGACAACAGCCATAAACGTTCATAAAGACTGCTTCATGTTCCTAACAGGTGTTATGTCATGTTTATGACAGTGTCATGTCAGTCTTATGCACACCCTGTCAAATAAAGTGTTACCGAAAGTTGAGTGGAAGGAAAAGGTGTGGTAGAAAGACACCATACATGCCTATGCATCTGTCATTTTCCTTGTGCTAAGCACCAAACCAAAAACAGTGTCTGGAGCATCTTCCTTGGCTAAGGGAAAACAAGATTCAGGACTGCTCAAAGTTCTCTTTTCCGCTTTACTGGGCTGTTGATTTTTATTTTTTTATTTTTCTATTTTTTTATTGTCATTTATTTTTATGAAAGTTTAAATATAGAAGAGGTTTGGGGGCTTCTGCTCCCACAATACAACATTTAGCAAGTTGAAGTAACAAAAGTTTATTGATAAACTGTGCAAACAAAACCTGTTCAAATTTCAAGGCAATAGACAAGGAAGATGGCTGTGAAGAACCAGGACCCAGGGCCTTTTCTCATGCCACACGGACTCAGAGTCAGACAAAAGTGAAGGAAGCCTCTACATCTTAAGGCAGGTCATGAGGTTACATTTGTATCTTTGCTGAAACAACAGGATTTTGCAATGAAAAGTTTCTTCTAACTGAATAAACATCTGTTGTATTTCACATGTGTATATATGCTTAAGTGTGGGGGGAAAAAATGCAAGTTTTTCTCCAAAGATGAAGCAAAAAAAAAAAAAAGTTTATTTCAAGGCTTGTAAAATATATATTTTCCAACACAAAAAAAATGCAATGAATTCAAAATTCCTCATATCTCGAGGCGTGTAAACAAAAACCGAATGTAAACAGCAGAGAGGGCAGTCTTAATTCCTCAAAGCACCACTTTTGACTGATAGCTCACAAGCTACCTGAGGAAGACATCACTTAATCATTTACAGATACCACTATAGATTAGGAGTTAAGCATTAGCAGCTGCTGCCCACCCACTTCTCTCTCAGATTTATGGCACCTTCATCACGAGAGCCCCTGTGGCAGTCTGTCACTTCAGCTGTGGTTGGGGACCCAGCGGAAACGGTACCCCCCCTGCAGGGTCCTTGATGTAAACGCATGCCCATGAGGAAACACCTGAGTCCGAATGGTGCCGTGTTCTCTGACGGAGGTCCTGAAGGATGAGGCATCTTCTGCAGCCTCCGGTGCATCAACAATCGCAGTGCTGTTGCTGTTGGGAGTGGACATCTGCAAACTTGAGAATGCGCCATACATGCGTATCGACTCGGACTCCTGTGGTGATCCTGCAGCGTTGCTGAGCAGCACAGCGTTGCAGCGTGTGCTGATGTCCCTCAGCATGTCCTCCACCGAGTCAGAGGACTCAGTTTCATAGCCTTCATCCAGGCGCTGCCTCTTGCAGGGACTCAGAGAGGTGTTTTCAGAGCTTGGTACCTCCGGTTCTCCAGCATGAGAATCTCTGACTGTCATGAATCTCTAAAAGAATCAAAATAATCAGAAGTTCACACTCATCAACTATATCAATATGATTTTTTCTTTTTTCTATAAAACTTTACATTCTGTATAAACACGACTGAGACAAAATGCTGTAACTATTCAACTAATATGAAAAGTTTGAAACCCTTATAAAGCTCCACCTCTTCCTCGGGGTCAATCCAAAAGGTCGTTCCTCCCTACTAGGATTGCTTTTAGGACAGATTTTGACCTGCATTTATCTGATTCATTGCTGGTTCCTGCAGCGGAAATGCCGGGGGGAGGAAAATGATGCCTAAAAATGATTCTGGTTCCTGAAAAGGTTCCTGCAGTAGAAAAATCCCACCTATAGAGATGGGTTTTGAGCTTGAATTTTACTCACTTCAAGGACTGAGGCGAGGTGTTTTGCTCGACTCGCCAGTTGCTTGAGGTGCAGGTTTCTTTCCTGAAGGGAGTCCAGTTCTTGTCGCTTGTGAAGACTCTCCTGGAGCTGCAGGCAGACATTTCAAGATATTTTCGGTTATGCTGTCTGCTTTTGTTTGTCCTCTCTGCTGTGTTTTCTTGCATGTTTCCTAACATGCAAGAAAAATATAATATTTAAAACTATATGCAGCAATTTTAAATGTTGACCTGATTCACTTGTCTTTGGAACAACCAGTTTTCAGAGCTGGCCCAAGGCATAAGTGAAACAAGCTGCTGCTTTTTAAAAAAATATACATTGTTGAAATATTTCTTCAATATTTTGCCCCGCTAAATGATATGATGGACACAAATTTTGCTTTGTCATTTGCATCACAGAAAGCTGAGTGAAAGAAAATCAAATCTCCACTGACACAAATAATCCTAAGATTATGTTTTACCTGTTTGTTGATGGCCATTGAGTCTCCAAGAGCCCTTCCCTGGCACTCTGCAACACTCCTCCATGAAACTCCATCCTCTGTTTTTTCTGTGGAGGATTGAACCATGCTGTCCTCTGGAGAGAAATCCCTCTGAGGGGTCAGAGGGGGTATAACACACCCCTGAAATGGGAGAAGTTCAGACAGACAGCTATCTCCTGCAGCAGTGGAATCTGGGAGAAGAGAAAGATCACCAAGGAAACAATGAGCAGGAGTTTGGAGGAAGGATGACCAGAGCAGAAGTCATCCCATTGCCAGAACTTAGCTCCCTCACCTGCGATGAAATCCATCACATAATCTCCATAATGCTGCTCGTCTGGGTCAGACTCGTTCGCCTGTGAGGAAATAAAGCTGATTATTAACATAATGTGTTTTGGTAACTAAAACCACAAAGAAACCATGACAACTGTACCTGGTAATTCCACCAAGTCAAAGCAGAGCTCCAGGAGTGAATCTTGGTGGTCATTTCAGATGTGTAATGTTGTGCAGAGGGGCAGTGTGTGGAAAGAAACTTCAGGTGAGGTGCTAGTGTTTAGTAGCCTGCCTGTCATGTGTAAACTACAATCCCATTTGGGCAGGATTCCTAAAGTCAAACATTAACAGAGGGGGGCTCAGACTGTCTTACCTAATAAATATCAGTGTTGGTTTTGTATCAATTGTAAAACTAAACCACGAGTCAGCAAGTATTGTAACCAGATCAAATAAATTCCTGTGGTTTTATTGTGAAAGATGATTTTATTCTCACCTGAGAGACGAATGAGTTTCTCTCCTGTTCCACAGCAGATGCACAGCCCTCCAAATCCCCCCATTCAATTGTTGCAAAACCTAAAAGATAACCATAGTGTAAAAAAGGACCTAAAAATAGTATCTGGAGTTCAGTCACAGTATTTGTGGTTTACCTTTGCAAGCAATGCGGGGAAATTCAACATAAACACTAACAGGACTGCTGCTTCTTGGCACCGGGAATTTATCCTGCAGGAATAGCACCTGTCATCAAAGTTTTCATTCATTTGCAAGTTTTTCTGAAGAGAGAGAACTTTGCTTACAATTGCTTTCCCCCTACGCTGTCCCAGTCTGTTGGGCCAAACAGCACCGAAAGCGTTCCCTTCTTTTTGCGTCTCCATCATCAGCTCCATCCATCAGAAACTGACAGGGACATGATTTAGACTTGGAGCTGATATAGTCGACTTTCTCCCGGTTCGTGTCTCTGTGTGCCGCGGTTTCCCTCTCCTGGCCCAATCAAATCCACTAGTTCGGTCTCTAGGGAGTGTCGGCGTCCTCGGAGATGAAATTAGTGCAGTATGGGGTTTTCTGTTTAAAACTGGGAAACGGTGCCGCGCAGAACGGCGCCATCACAGCGCCAGCAGGTGTGCCCCGCAGCGCTCCCTAAATCTGCGGCCAACATCCCCAAGCAATCAGGTCTCATTGTAATTATGCAAATCACAAGTATACTGAATATTTACTGTAAGAGTCGATTGATATTATAGAGATTGCGTATAGGCTGAACAAAAGATGAACATGTGACGTCCGCACATTTTTATTTTATAACATGCTTATATACCGCCTTGCTTTTTCATGCGTAATTTCAATCCATTTGCGTAAAACATCTTATATACACAAGAAAGGTTGATGCCCTCGAAAAGAAAAGTGGAAAAGGAAAAAAAAAAAGCTCTAAGAGCGGACAGTTCAGTAAACACTTGTGACAAATGCCTCAATTAGTAAACAAACAGGGGGATGTCAACTGGTCTTTATAGAGCTGAATGCGCCTGTGTGTCCGAGCTGCCACGCGTAATGGATTAGCAGATAAAGCCGCGAAATTGCCTGGCCTGTGTTGGCAAAGTTTGTCTCTAAATACTGCTGCTAACAAAAACGATGAAGTGCTGACCTCCATGCAACAATAGCCGCAGGAATCACTGCTTTTGGAAAAGTGTTTATTTTCTGTGTTGGCCACTCCAGCCATCCATTTATTGCATGATCTTAAGTGGTTTCTAAGATTTGTGTTAGTCTTGTGATGCGCAATCTGGTTTAAA